ATGGTATACATATACCACAATTTATTGATCCATTTGTGGATCGATGGCAGAATTGTTTTGACATACATGTATACAAATTGGCTTTGCCTATCATATTTCTTAATTTTTCAAGGTAAGAATGTGGTGAATATTTTACTTTGAAAAATGTTGGTGACATCATGGAACCCAGCTGAGAAGTCACTGTACAGAGTGGGGTAACATCAGTGCTCCTTGCCAAAGACACTGATCTTTTTAACTGAGTTTCCCTTAGACTTGAAAAAGATATCATTAAGTATGTTAAATTGAGAGTTTTAAAAATGGAATGATGTTAAATAAAATCCTTATTGACTCTAGAACCAGACTACCAGGTCCAACAATATAATTCCTGAATCTGATTCTAACTAATTTAAACTTTGTGCTTTATTTGAAAAAATTTAGAGACCCAACTACCTTTATTGAGAAAGTCTTTAATAGCACAATTTATAATCTAAGAAATAGAGTAAGTCCTAAAAAAGAAAAATTGACAGGCTAAAAACATACTTTACACATGCTAGATATAACATAATTTGTATCTAGTAATTAAGTGGGCCTTTTGCTAGGTATTACTTTACTGCAATATTTTTAGGGTTTATAGATTTCTTTTCCTTAAATGTTCTATGTAATTTGGGTATTTTATTAATTTTATAACATTAACTCACATCTACTTTAGAGACGTTAATTGCATCATAAAACATCTGTTATATAGCTGTTATATGTACCGATATCACCAGTAAAGATACTAAGTTGGATTGTTACTTTGACAAGACTCTATCAAAGTGCCTTAAGCTGACATTATGGTGACCCATCTCGATAAAAAATAAAAGTAACCAGGTGTAGTGGCATGTGTCTGTAATCCATGCATCTGTAATCTTAGCTACCTGGGAGGCAGGAAGATCTCTTGAACCCAGGAGTCAGACGGCAGTGAACTATGATCATGTACCTGACCTCCAGCCTGAGTGACAGGGTGAGACCCTGTCTCATATAAATAAGTAAATACACTTTACATACAGTATATTCTTATCTATCGTAGTCTCTCAGCATCTTCTCTCAAAAGGAAAACTTTTATAGCCTTTATTTTTTTAAATCATCTTTCTCATAAGCTTTCACTGTCTCTTTAAGGTCTTCCTGAGTTAAATGAAAGTTACTTTATGTACAGCTCCTATATCTCATATTCATCCCTCTGTGTTCTGTCTGTCTGTCCTGCTTGTCTAATACCAATAAAAGGTGTACATTCTTGACTTAGTGTATTTATGTATATGTCCTTTATTTTGTGGCACATAGAGAAAGGTATATGTAGTATGTTTAGTTAGTACCATTTGGCGATGGTGCTATATTTTAGTTACTCAAGGCCTAGATGGATGTCAGAGACAAATTTCCTTATTAGCACAATAGTCCATCATTTTTCTCTTGACTAAATTTTACAACTTTTCATTTGTCAACATTCATTTGTACTGCTTTGTACACAGTGAGAATTGAGTAATTGGCTCTGTGCCTGTAGCTCAGCATCTAGGGCACCAGCCACATACCCCAGAGCTGGTGGGTTTGAATCCAGCCGGGGCCTGCCAAACAACAGTGACAACTAGCACCAAAAAAAAAAAAGGGTGAATTGGCAGGTGCCTGTAGTCCCAGCTACTTGGGAGGCTGAGGCCAGAGAATTGCCTAAGACAAAGAATTTGAGGTTGCTGTGAGCTGTGATGTCACTGCACTCAACACAGGGCAACATGGTGAGATTCTGTCTATAAAAAAAGAATTCAGTAATTGTTTAATTCATTTGAATGCCTAGAAGGTATATATATATTATTCCAGCCACCTAGGTTTGGGCAGTCTTTGAAAATGGCATGCTGAGTATTCATTTATTCCCTGCTTTACAGGGGAGAGAGAGAAATGGCTTCTGTCTACGTAGAAATAATTTTGGTCGAGTCTGTTGCCAAAGTAGCCAGCAGCCATACTTGGGGGAATGCTAAAAAGCATGCTGCCTGTGCTTGGGCAAGAGCAGTCGCTGGGAAAGGGCAGCAGGAGGCCTCTTTCCTTATAACACCTTGGTGTATGTAGTCGTATTTCTTCCTGTGTCTCTTCATAACTTTTGTGGGGTTTCCTACGATGAGAATAACCATGTACCAGAGGTTGTTCCTTGTAGCCTTTGCTCTTACGTTATTTGCACCCAAATCAAATGACTCAATCTGTAATTCCTGAACATTTTTTATGGCTAGAATTATTACACATTTAAAAGCTGAGAGTGTCCAGTTTACAACTGGGGGTCGGATACATGTGCCAATTTCAGCTATGGAATGTTCTATATCAAGGCTGGATGCTGGTATCACTAGGGCACAGCCGGTGTCATGCAGAGAGCACAGGCTCTGCAGCTATCTGTGTTGAACAAGTCACTTTTGATCCTCTATTCACTTGCTCTTAAAATGAAAATAATGCGGCTCGGCGCCTATAGCTCAACCGGCTAAGGCGCCAGCCACGTACACCTAAGGTGGCGGGTTCGAATCCCCAGCCCGGACCCGCCAAACAACAATGATGGCTGCAACCAAAAAATAGCCAGGCGTTGTGGCGGGCGCCTGTGGTCCCAGCTACTTGGGAGGCAAAGGCAAGAGACTCGCTTGAGCCCAGGAGTTGGAGGTTGCTGTGAGCTGTAATGCCACGGCGCTCTACCCAGGGGGACAGCTTGAGGCTCTGTCTCAAAAAAAAAAAAAAAAAAAAAATGAAAATAATGCATTCAAGGGTCTGTGTAAGATATAATTATAGTAGTACATAGACATCTAGCAAAGTGACTGGTGCTTAATAAATAGCCACTATTATGACAATGCTTAATACAGTTAATGTATAGCCTAAGTTGAATATGTTAGTTTTTAATATTCACTTTAGAAAAATGTAATTGGACCCATTTAATATTCTTTTAAAGTTAAATATTATAAAATATTTTTTGCATATTAGTACAAAGAATTGATAGTTTATTAATGTTATTTATATCCTTGAAGTAGAATAACTAGTTAAAGTGAGCGTTTCCAAAACCACACTCTAAATAAAAATATCAACACCTGTGGTTATAGTGATCCAGAGGCTTCCAGGAGAAAGTGGGACTTCACTAAGTTTTGAAGGTTAGAAATAGGCTTGAGGGTTTGAGAGAGGGGAAGGTATGTTTAGATGGCATGCCTCAGGCCCAGTGTATGGACCCGGCTAGTTCTCTTCAAGTGAACAGTGTTTAGGAAGAAGCAAGACAGGCCTACAGAAACCAGGTAGCTCTTAGTGATGGGGAGAGGTGAAGGCCTTTGTACTGATTGAAATGTTCAGTGTGCTGGCTGTAGTCAGAGGACCGTTCTTGTACAGTGTGAGTCATAAATCTCACAAGAGTGCAGTGGCATTCTTGCACATTCAAGCATACTTGTGACCAGTTTTTTTTTCTGCTTCCATATCTCCTTCACTTCCCTTTCTGAAGGAAAAAAAAGAAGCTAAAAAATCTCACTCCATCCCCAGAAGGGACCACATGTGCCAGAGCTGGATCTGTAAGGCTGCAAGTTGGTGGGGTGCGATTGTAGCCTTTAGGTTTGAGGTCTGGTTTGCAGTGCTTATTCTTGAGAAGTGACTTGGGGTCTGGGGAGGGCTGGAGGAAGGCAGCTAGCTGTCTTGGGGAACTGTGGTGGCACTTGTGTAAATTGCACAGAGGCTGGGGAGTGGTTGGGACAGGCTAATCAGCACCCAGGGTGGCAGACAACCTGGTGTGGAGCAGATACCTCCTGACCATACTGGCAGTTAGTTGAGAAGTACTGTGCTTTTGCTTTCCTGGAGACCCTGAAGTTTTAGCTATCTGGAGAACACAGAAAGGGAAGCAGCTTCTGTGAGGGCTGCTGGGTCCTTCTTTTGCCCAGAGAAGATGAAAACATAAACATTCCCTTGAATTCATGTCTTTCAGAGGAGTAGACGCTCCCAGCTCCTTAATTCTCTTTGCTTTATATGCTTGATAAATGGAAATAGGATAAGGAGAAAGAGATGGGTATAGTTCCTGCCTGTAGAGGTGGAGTTCTGAGCTCCAGGCCCAGCTCCTTAACTCCTGGGAGGATGCATTGGTCAGGCGGGAGGTGTGGTGCTCTAGGTGGTCACTGATGGTGTCTGTCTGACTTGTGCTGGCTCTGCAACGAAGGTGGACACTCTTTCTGTGTTAGTGGGCAGGTGGGTATTTAGGAGGTGCAGGAATTGTATGATGTAGGTTTGTAAAATAAGAAATTTGGTAGTGAAACTTTGCTGGTAAACTGACTAGTGACTAGAAGTGGAGAAACTGCATGGGTTTGTGCCTGGAGTTCAGTGTCGACACCGGGTGGCAGTGATGTCTTTCTGTGGAACATTAAAGCATGCTCATATGTTTCAGAGATGAACTCATAATTGATTTTTTAAACTAAAGAAAATCATTCTTATTAATGTTATTTGAATACTGATTAAAATTATTAAGTAGAAAATATTGTGTGCTAACACAGTTTCTTGACTGATTTTTTATTCCTCTTTATACTTTGGCCACCAGCATAGAGTCTAACCTGTGGTAACCTATAGCATAAATTCATCCTGTGTGCACATAAATGGTGAATCTAGTTTTTCCCTCAAGTGTGCCTTAACATATTTTCTACACTGCGATATATCGTATTTGTCGGTTATACTTTCCTAACAGTTCTGTAAACTTGTCCTTTGAGAATCTTCCTAAAATGTCATGTTGTTAATATTTTTAAAACGTCATCAGCTGTCTTTATTGTGACCCCACTGTAAGAAATACATTGGGGGCGGCACCTGTGGCTCAAAGGAGTAGGGTGCCAGCCCCATATGCCGGAGGTGGTGGGTTCAAACCCAGCCCCGGCCAAAAAAAAACTGCAAGAAAAAGAAATACATTGGAACTCAGCACATATATGTACACGTGAGTGTATGTAATGGCATAGTCCTGTGTTTTTAGCTATACCCTATTTTGAAAACAAGTGAATTTAATGAAAATTCGGCTAAAATACTTACGCTGTAGTTTCTTATTTTATTCACAATTGGTAGTTATGTTTCACTAGAGAATATTTCTGTCTAATTATTTTTGGCAATTGCAATTTATTTTAAGGGCACAATTAGAGAATGAAAAGAAGAAAAGAGAAATAGCAGAAAAGGAAAAGGAAAGAATAGAACGTGAAAAGGAAGAGCTAATGGAACGTCTAAGGCAAATTGAGGAGCAGACGCTGAAAGCCCAGAAAGGTAAAAGTTTCTTTTTGACAATGGATTCAAAATTATTCCTCCGTTGTCAGATAGCTGCATTTCCTTCCTATTGTTAAATCTTATTTCTTTTATTTAAGATAATTATATTTAATTGCTAAATTGATACTTAATGGAATCACATCATAAGCATGTTTAACTAAAGTACATTCAATTTTATAATGTTCATGTTCTTTCTCTTTAATTTATTTAAAATGCAGTTTTTTTAGGTATACTCTTTATTATAAATATAAATGTATTATACCTATTGTTCAGGGTACTATAAACAAAAAACAAAAATACTTTATAACAGAAGTACTTTATGGAGAACTGAATACTTTTAAGCAATTTCAGCTAGCTATTCAAACTACATAAACTATTTAGGAACTAAACTCTATAGGAAAGACTTTATTTCAGTGTATTAGAAAATACACAGCACATAGATTATTGAGTTTTTTGTTTATTTTGAGTAACATGTTTGGAAGAACTTCTTAGGCAGTATATAATCAAAACACTATAGTTTGTAGAAAGGATACACTGGATTTATAATGTCTGGCTCGTGAACTTCAGAATGTGTTACTTTCACATAGTGTATAGTGGAGAGAGGGAGAAAAAACGATTGAGCAAAATGGGATCGCAGGGATTAGCATGACACTCACACTGTTTATAGAATTAAATTTACTACCTATTTGCTAACCAGTAGAACCTGCCATTCACTTCCATTGGTAATAGCCAATACATACTGAATATCCCTTATCCAAAATGCTTAGGACCAGAAGTGTTAAGAATTTTGGATTTTTTCAGATTTTGGAATATTTGTGTTGTCTGGTTAGTGTCCCAAGTCTAAAAATCTGAAATCTGAGATTTCATGTTCGCACTCAAAAAATGTTGGATTTTGGAACTCTCCAGATTTCAGAGTTTTACATTAGGAATACTCAACTTGTGGTCTTACAAGGTTTATTTTCACTTCTTATAACAGCCTACCATGGTGGGTGGGGAGAGGGTCTTGAGAAGTGTGGCAGAATAATTACTGTAAGAGGTTGCCAGGGGGGCAGGTCACAAAGATCACTATAAATCCACACAGGGGTTGGAAATCATATTTCTAAGAGAAGAAATTGAAAAGGCCTGGGTTTCATTCTGACTCATTAGAATCATAAAGGAACTGGAAACTAGTTCATTTCAAACCCAGGAGTAGCAAAGCGTTTGTTTGGAGATCACAACACGGCCAGAGCTTGTTTCCCGGATTCAGCCTGGTGCTGTTGGTACCGCTCTGGTTGCCTCTCTCATCAGTCAAAATAGGCATTGTTGAAAGGCCTACTCTGTGCTGCATTCTAGGAGTACAAATAAGTAGCGTTCATGGGAAGAAACCTGGATATTTGGCAGAAATATACACATGACAATATTAATAAAGTGAATTAATATGTACCACGTGTCGTGTGTAGTATAAGTACTGGAGAGGAAGAATGCTGTAAAAAGCCTGGATTATACTAATATAACTAACGTAATTTATGATACTGATCTGATTTGAAAGAAAAGATTAAATCATAGCATCTTATCATTTGTGCATTATCTTTTTTTAAAAAAATAGTTGCTTACTAAATTTTTCGATCTTATTTATTTAGGGCATATAATAAAAATATTAATGATTTACATTAAGAAAACTACTCAAGTAAAGAAGCACCAAAGGCTGTAAGGAAGATAGAATGTCAGGAAGACAGAGAGCAGCCAGTCGAGACAGTTTGAGATCAGTCGTCTAAGGCAGAGGACATCCCATTTGGTGTTGAGTTTTCTTTCTTCCTAATAAAACTGTCTCAGGCTGTCTTTACAATCTACATCATTGTCTTGTAATTTGTGCTCAATCTTTATTCAAATGCAGTAACTTTGGCCATATCTAGTCATGATACATATATTTAGTAGGTGAACCTGTAATTTTTTGTTTGAGAAGAAATTTTTAATACTTTGTTGTCTTTTAAAAAAAATTTTTTAATGAATTCATTATTTCAAATGAATCATTAAATAGAACAATTCATCCATTTTACATTTTTGTAATACATCATTGTTAAATTATTTAAAAAATGAAAACCAGCACCTCTGAAGCTGGGTCTAGAAGGAAACCTATAGCAAAAGATGTTCTTAATGTGTTAACAGAAGCATTCCTTTTAAAATCAGAAATAAGGTAAAAGTTTTGAAGTATTGTTGCTGCTTAAGATTGAACAAGAAAACCTGTTGTACAGAAAAAGAAATCAGAAGCTTAAGAACAAATGAAAGGAATACTATTTGAAAATATTAGGGTTGTTTTATAATCAGGGATTGCAAATTATGGCTCACACCATATCCAGTAAGCCTTTTTTTTTTTTTGTATTTTTGTATTGCCTGTGAACTAAGAATGAGGGGGTTTTTGGTTTGTTTTTTGAGACAGAGTCTCACTCAGTAGCCCTGGGTAGAGTGTCATGGCATCATAGCTCACAGCAACCTCAAACTCTTGGGCTTAAGTGATCCTTTTGCCTTAGCCTCCTGGGTAGCTGGGACTATTTTTAGAGGGGAGGATCTTACTCTGCTCAGGCTGGTCTCAAACTCCTGAGCTCAAGTAGTCCACCCGCCTTGGACTCCTAGAGTGCTAGGATCATAGGTATGAGCCACTCACCTTGCCCAGCCTGATTTTTCCATTTTCAATTGTTGAAAAATGTTTGATGACACATGAAAATTAGGTATAATTCCAATTTCAGTGTCCATAAAGTTGTGTTGGAGCACAGTATGCTCATTTGTTTATTGACTATGGTTGGTTTGTTGCTATATTGGCAGAGTTGAGTGGCTGCAACAGAGATGGTGCAGTCTGCCGAGCCCAAAATATTTACTGTGTGGCCCTTGATTTATATAAACACAAAAGACTTATAGGCTCATTTATAACAATTGACAAGGAGCAGATAATGACAATCAATATAAAAATAAATTGCATTTCTATAGAAGCAAAAATAAAATTTTTGGAAAGATATTTCATTAAATTTATAGTTCTATATTTGAAATCGTTAAAGCCAGATGAATTTCAGAATTTGGAATTTCTTTGGACTTCAGAATATATATTATGTGCATATGTTGTTATATCAGGAAACTTCTATGGCTTCACCTCAAAAACAATACTGTTTCTATACATTAATAAGTGAATATTACTATGAAGTGGGATTAGTCTTACACCACTTTGTGGCAGATTTTTGCTCAAAATTAACTATTGAATTATAAGGTTCGGTTTTCTTTTTGTAGAGACAGAGTCTCACTTTATTGCCCTCAGTAGAGTGCTGTGGCATCACAGCTCAAAGCAACCTCCAAGTCCTGGGCTTAGGCTATTCTCCTGCCTCAGCCTCCCAAGTAGCTGGGACTACAAGTGCCTGCCACAACGCCTGGCTATTTTTGTTGTTGTTCTTATAATTGTCATTGTTTTTTAGCTGGCCCAGGCCACGTTTGAATCCACCAACCTCAGTATATGTGGCTGGCACCCTAACTACTAAGCTACGGGCACCACTCATGGTGGCAAGTTTGTGAACTTAATTGTCACACCTCATATATGTAGCTATGTTCTTTTACATCGTTATGTGATATTCCCTTGCAGCGATACACCACTGTATTTACATTCTACTGATGATGGACATTTGCATTATTTTCAGGGTTTCCTTTTTCTTTTTTGACTATTAATAAACTAAGGCTGCTGTGAATGCTCCCGAACGAACGTCGGGTGTACTTCTGTGTTAGTTTTGGGGAGGTGCACACTTAGGTGTCGGATTACCGGGTCCCAGCTGTGCTGCACTGTAGCACATCCCGTCACTAGTTTCATCCTGTTCCCAGCGAGCGAAATCTCACTGGCTCTGCGTCCTCACCACGACTTCTGCCACTCTGGATTGTCAGGATTTCTTTTGTGTAGCCATTCTGGTGAGTGCAGTGAGTAAATAGGTTGAATATCCCTTCCCTAAAATGCTTGGGACTAGAAGTTTTTTCAGATTTTGGGAGATCTGCATATTTACAGATTAAGCTTTCATAACTTAAAACTCTGAAATCCTAAATATTCCTATGAGCGTCTGGTTGGTGCTGAAAGAGTTTCCAATTTTGGAGCAGTTTGGATTTTGGATTTTAGGATGCTCAACCTGGGCATTTTCTTGGTGCTAATGATTTTGAGCACATTGGCAAGGGGCTGGATAGTGGTGAATAGGTCAGTAGTGAGTGTGGGCCACAGTCCCTGTCCCACCTGTTCAAAGCTGCCATTGCAGTCGTAGTACCTAAATGAGTGAGGGTTGTGTTCCAATGAAACTTTATTTACCAAAAGAATAAAAATAAATAAAAGAAGAAGAAGAAATGGCATTGCATTGGGTTTGCTCTGTGGGCCATAGTTTGCTAATCCATTTTAACATAACTGGAAAGAAAGAAGGGAAGTTATTTTTGAGATATGTGATTGTTCAAAACCTCCATTTCTAGAAAAAACTAGGGTAGATTTGATATTTTTAGAGTTCATTTTCAACATTTTAAAAACTTAAACTTTAGTATAATTCTTAGTATACCACAAGACAACCTTATTTGTCATTTTTAAATTGATATTTATTACAAAAAGCTGATAGAAAATGAATATTGGTGCATATTTATTTCAGAATTTAACTTTGTAACCCAGACTTATCTCTTTCTTGTGTCATGATACAGAAATAATTTTTATTATGAGATCATGAATAATAAACCACCCTCAAACCTGCTACCCTCAGTATATGGGGCTGGCACCCTCCCCACTGAGCCACAGGCGCCCCCCAGTGTTCTGGCTTTTCATAACTAGCTTATTTCACTTAGCAGAATATCCTTAGGGTTCATCTGTGTTGTGGCATATGTCCGAACTCTTTTCCTCTAACGCTAAATAATATTCCATTTTGTTAGAGACCACATTTTGCTCATGCGTTTTTTTGTTGATGGACACTTGGGCTGGCCTGTGCTTTTTTGACAGAGCCTCAAGCTTTTGCCCTGGGTAGAGCTCACAGCAACCCCCAACTCCTGGGCTCAAGCAATTCTCTTGCCTCCTCCTCCCAAGTAGCTGGGACTACAGGCGCCCACCACAATGCCCAGCTAGTTTTTAGTTACAGCCGTCATTGTTTGGTGGGCCCGGGCTGGATTTGAACCCACCAGCTCAGGTATATGTGGCTGGTGTCTTAGCCACTTGAGCCACAGGCACCGAGCCACCTGTGTTTTATCTACTGTGAATAATGCCACTGTGAACATGGGTGTTCAAATATCTCTTTACAACCATTCTTTCAGTTCCTTAGTTCTTTGCTTGTGTAAGACATAAGTTTTATGTTTTAGACCTCAGTCAACCATACAGAAATGTTTGATAGGCTAGTTTGATTATCCAAATGGTAGGCAAGACAGATTCTAATGAGGACTCCTAGGATTTAACTGGGGTAATAGTCACAGTATATGTTTCATCTTTTATAGCCAAATGTCCACATAGGGTTTTTATATTACTTCATCACTAATTTAAAGCCTAGCCAAAGAGTCATTTTTCTTCTCCAACCTGTTTCAAACCCTCTAGTCTTAACGGCAATTATTTAAATAATTTTGGGGGGGTTGGGGGGAACAAGAGTCTCACTTTGTCACCTGCAGTAGAGTCCCCTAGTGTCACAACTCACAGCAACCTAAAGCTCTTGGGCTTAAGTGATTCTTTTGCCTCAGCCTCCCGAGTTGCTGGGACTAGAGCGCCTGTCACAATGCCCGGCTGTTTTTGTTGTTGTTGCCATTGTTGTTTTAGTTGACCTGGGCCATGTTCGAACCCACTAGCCTCAGTATATGTGGCTGGCACCCTACCCACTGAACTATGGGTGCCACCCTATTTAAATAAGTTTTGATCAAAACCAACAAAATTAAGAATAGTAAGTAAAGGCTTGTACATCAGTTACCTTTTGAAATTTTGATTAAAACCAACGAAATTAAAAATGGTAAGTAAAGGCTTACGATTACAGTTACCTTTCAGATCTCACGGTGTATAAATTTTCAGTTTTTCTTAAGTATACAGTAGGAGGAATCGTTCTTTCTAAGACGTTACACTCACACTCTTGGTAGATGGCGTCCTGTTGTCTTCTGTCTCAGAATTCCTCTAATTATTAAATAAAAATTGTCAAAATGGCATTTAAGGTTAATATGTTAAATCCATTTAAATTTTTTCTGGTTTTGTGTTAATAATATTTTCCTTCCCTATTCAACAATTTGAAATAATAAGTTTTATGATCTGCACACTTAAGAATGAAAATTCATGTCATTCATCTCTAAATATTTATCTTCCTGGCCTAGGAGTGGACATGTGCTAATAACTTACAGTTTTCAATAATTTATGTAACTCACCTTGAAATTTCTAGTTTCGGTCAGTAAGCATTGCTCTAAGTCTTAATTTCTTGGGTTTACTTATACTTATTTAGTTCAGATAAGTAAAAACTTACATAGACTTTAAGATGTGCTGTGTTGTAGATTGCTGAAACATGGCAGTTTGTTTACTGAGGTCAAAACTTTAAATAGAGACACAATTTTTAAAAAATAAAGTTATGTGCTTCTAAGCCTTATGGCATAACTTGAATTACAAAGGATTTTCATGTCTTTGCATTTATTTATTTATTATTTGTTTGTTTTTTATTGTTGGGGATTCATTGAGGGTACAAGAAACCAGGTTACACTGATTACATTTGTTAGGTAAAGTCCCTCTCACAATTGTGCCTTGTCCCCAAAAGGTGTGTCGCACACCCCCCCAAGCGCTCTCTCTCTGCTCTCCCTTTCCCTCACCCCACTGTGTCATTAATTGTCCTTATATCAAAATTAAATACATATGATTCATGCTTCTCCATTCTTGTGATGTATTACTAAGAATAATGTGTTCCACTTCCATCCAGGTTAATACATAGGCTGTTAAGTCTCTATTTTTTTTAATGGCTGAATAGTATTCCATGGTATACATTTACCACTGCTTGTTAATCCATTCCTGGGTTGGTGGGCATTTAGGTTGTTTCCACATTTAGGTGATTGTAAGTTGAGCTGCAATAAACCTAGATGCCCAGTAATGGGATTACAGGGTCAGATGGGAGGTCTAGCTTGCGTTCCTTGAGGATTCTCTATACTTCCTTCCGAAAAGGTTGTATTAGTTTGCAGTCCCACCAGCAGTGTGAAGTGCTCCTTCTCTCCACAGCCACACCAGCATCTGCAGTTTTGAGATTTTGTGTTGTGGGCCATTCTCACTGGGGTTAGATCATATCTCAGGGTGGTTTGATTTGCATTTCTCTAATAATTAGTGATGATGAGCATTTTATTTCTTTGCAGTTTTGAATTGTGTGACACATTATTTTCATTGTAAGATTTTCGTCAAGTTAAAAAATGTGTGTGTGCATTTACATGTGTGCTAATTGTTAGACGCCGTACAGGTTAGATATCTTCCGACTGTTCTTTTAATGATAATAATTGGAATTAATAATTGTGTGGGGGGGATACATGTGTTTGACAGAACTAGAAGAACAGACTCGAAAAGCTCTAGAGCTGGATCAGGAACGAAAACGAGCAAAGGAAGAAGCAGAACGGCTGGAAAAGGAGCGCCAGGCTGCTGAAGAGGCCAAGTCTGCCATAGAGAAGCAAGCTGCCGACCAGATGAAGAACCAGGAGCAGCTGGTAAGGGACTGGCTAGGTCTGTCTGCAGAAAAAGAAAAATTTAAGTGAAAGCATGGAGTACACGTTCTAAAGAAAACCCAACTAAGTGTTTTATACTTTTTGAAAAGTAGCCCCCAAACAAAAGTAGCTTAATAACAAGGAGTGGAAATGTTGCTGTAAGGGTCTCAGGGAAAAGCGAGAATAAGCACGCTATTGAAATTGTGTTTTAAATAAAGGTGACCATCTGTTCACTCAGGGAAAATGGCAAGCTTGCTTTCTTTATGGTTGGTTTATATAGGGAATCTTGTGCATGTGCACTGTACAGCAATGACCTCATTAATATTCATTACAATCCCTCTGCACACATGCATTGGACGTCAGTGACTTCTCTCTGCACATGTGCATTGGACATCACTGACTCACTGACTTCATTAATCCTTTTAAACGTCTTGTGACCACCGTCCTGTAAGTAGTGCCTCCCTAATAATCTGATAATCCACCCAACATACCCCTTTAAGCATAACCCTTTCAACATAACCTGGTTTAACATAACGTCATTACTTTCTTTGTTCTTGTCTGATGAAGCCTGAGACTATGGAGGAACAAGGTAGATTGACTACTTGCCCTTGCTGACCTTGCTGGTTTGGAGGCTGTTACTTCGAATCTTTAAGGCGTAAAGAAACTTCTTGGGCATCCAGGAATTTATGTGCAAACCTCTGCTCCCATGTAAGCCTTAAGTCGAGGGGTTTTTGCTGGAACCTTTTATAAGAATTTTCAGGCTGGACTTCTCAAAAGCCTTTCATGAGCCCAGGTTTCATCTGTGCCATTAGATACCTGTATGCATTGGGTAAATTCCTCTTCTCTTGAGGTCCCCAGCACATTTCCTTTCCTGGACCCATCAGCAATCGACCTTCGTCACTTACCACAGATCAGGAAAGGTTACTGATGGGTATCTGCCCAGTTTTCCAAAGGGCTTTTTTATTGACCTTATAAAGTCAACCTTAATTCCTTAATGCAGTCTGGACATCTCCGGAAATGCCATTCCAGCCAGAGCCTTGGTCAAATTAGGCCCACAACCGACCTGGCCATATGGGATTCTGCCTCAGTTTCTCATAAATATGCCTGCAGTCTTTTCACTGCTCTCTCAAATGGCTTTTTTGGCCAGAATCATATAGGCATTTTACCTATAGGAAATCTAAAAATTGTATTTCTGCCTAAGGAAAATAAAACAGAATAGAACATGTTTTTTTGTAGATTTGTGAATACAGTCTATTGCCAACAAAAGATTCTAACTCAGACTTTGAACAGGTCCTATGATAAGCCAATTGGCAGCTTTATGTTTAGCTATAAGTTGATACTTTATGTTCCAGTTTGTAAAAGGTAACTATTTGTCAAAATTGGTTGGTTTTTTTGTATATTTATTAGAGTAGGCATGTCACTTAGAAGATCCTGGATTTAAATATAGTTCAGGCCTTTGCTTTGGGTCTCTCTCTCTCTCTTTTTTTTTGAAACAGAGTCTCACTCTATCGCCCCATATAGAGTGCTGTTGTGTCACAGTTCACAGCAACCTCAGACTCTTGAGCTCAAGCGATTCTCTTGCCTCAGCCTCCTGAGTAGCTGGGACTACAGGCACCTGCCACAAGCCCGGCTAGGTTTTTTTTTGTTTGTTTGTTTGTTTAAGAGATGGTGTCTCACTCTTGCTCAGGCTGGTCTCAAGCTCGAGTGATCCACCTCCCTTGGCCTCTTACAGTGCCAGAGTAGCCAGTGTGAGCCACTGCACTGGCTACTTTGGGTCTTTCTTTTTTTTTTTTTTTTGAGACAGAGCCTCAAGCTATCCCCCTGGGTAGAGTGCTGTGGCATTACAGCTCACAGCAACCTCCAACTCCTGGGCTCAAGCGAGTCTCCTGCCTCCGCCTCCCAAGTAGCTGGGACTACAGGCGCCCGCCACAACGCCCGGCTATTTTTTGGTTGCAGCCATCATTGTTGTTTGGCGGGTCCGGGCTGGGGATTCGAACCCACCACCTTAGGTGTACGTGGCTGGCGCCTTAGCCGGTTGAGCTATAGGCGCCGAGCCTACTTTGGGTCTTTCTGAGCCACAGTTCCCTCTGTTGAAAAGAGGAATGGTACTACCTCATAGGATTGTTGAGGATTTAAATGATTTGACAAAGTGCTCTTTAAACTATAAAATGTAAATACAAAAGTATATAAATATAATCTTTTCTTTTGTGGACTATAGGAAAATAGCTTGTTTATTGGTTAAAAAAAAAAGAAAAGCTCCTAAGTTACACATTTTGTGTTCCTGCCACTGAAACAAGATTATCTACTTGTCTGTAGACGACAAGTCTTTTTACTTTGTTTCCATATTAGCTCATTACCTCAAGGATCTACCCTAAATGTTTACGTCTTACAGAAATAATTGCCTTTTTTAAAAATGGAAAGCTAGGAATAACATAAAATAGCCCAAGTACATGATTAAAGCCTTGTTGATATAACATACCATAAGATTATTCAAAATATATTAAGTTTTTAAAGTCTTGGTACCCATCTTGTATATTTCAGGCAGCAGAACTTGCTGAATTCACTGCCAAGATTGCACTTCTAGAAGAAGCCAAGAAGAAAAAGGAAGAAGAAGCTACTGAGTGGCAACATAAAGTAACTGTCTGCTTGTTCCTTTACTCGCTTTAATTGAAGTGGTATTTTGTTCCCAGCTGTATACCAGGGAGTATGCTGACCTTACAGAGATGATTATGAGATTTGTCATAATTTAGAAGGGGAAAGATACATACATTTGTTATGTACTGTGATAAATATTTATCCATTGATGTAAGCTAAATACTTTGGAAACGCTGAAGACGTGATTAATTTCTGTGGGAATAAGGTATGAGTTGGGGGACACCCACATATGTTTAAACTTTAGTAATAAATTAGACTTTGGGGTAGAAAAGATTGGGCATAGTTAGGGATTGAATAGGTGGCCGTTTGAGTAGGACAACCTGTGAGCAACCAGAGCTGAGAGTCAGGTGGGCGCAGAAGTGTTGGGAGATGCAGCCTGCGAGGTAGATAACAGGAAACTCGGTTGTGAAAGGCTTTAAATAAATACTGTGGTGAGGCAGGGCGCTGGAGGGTGCCTATCGACTGTAGGCTCAGAAGATTTCAGAACAGGATTTTAACATGATTAGGTATGAATTTATAATGATAATTTAGCAAACCGTATGAAGGATGGATTGGGATGTGAATACTTAAGAGATAAAGACCCAGACTAAGGATGTGACATCGAGAATGAAGAGGCACAAAAAGAGTTATGAGACATTTATTTTGTGGTGAACTTCAAAGGGCCTGTGAACCCATGATGGGCTATGACGATGACTTAGAGGAGAGGGACGCCGTGACGATGACCCTGGGATTTCTAATTGTGTTCCTTAGAAGGTGAAGCCACCATTGTCTAGCACAGTTGTAAAATGCAGATGGATGAGGAAGGCAAGAGAATGAGAGTTTAATTCAAACTGCAGATATCATTAGCTCTTGAACACAACTATAGTAATTTTTGCCCAAAGAAGTTATATAGTTATATATGATGATTTTTTTCCTACAGTAAAATGTTGTTATTACAGAAAACAATTTCCTTTTACTCTTAGGTAAATTTTCTTTTTAGCAGTTTAAATTTCTTTGTTTCTTTGGTTTTTTTTTTTTTTTTGACACCTTTTGGCCGGGGCTGGGTTTGAACCTGCCACCTCCAGCATATGGGACTGGCACCCTACCGTTTCGAGCCATAGGCGCCACTCCTTTATTTTTGTATTTTTTATTAAATCATAACTTTGTACAATGATGCATTTATGGGGTTCAGGATACTGCTTCGATATACAATGTGAAATGCTTACATTGGACTAAGTAACACATCCATCACAATACACTCATTTCTTAATAGTTTTGAAATGTAACATTGCATCATGCACATTAGGTGAGGTACCCCCAAATACCCTCCCTCCTCCCATACTCCTCTCCCTTTCCCTCTCTCTCTTCTTCCCTTCTACTTTCTGGACTACAGTTATGTTTTGCCATTTGTATGTGTGTGTAGACGGTTATATATTGATTTCATAGTAGTATTGAGTACATTGGATGCTTTTCTTTCCATTCTTAAGATACTTTGCTAAGAAGAATATGTTCCAGCTCCATCCAAGTAAACATAAACGATGTGAAGTCTCCATCTTTTATGGCTGTGTAATATTCCATGATGTACATATACCTCAATTTGTTAATCCATTCGTGGGTCAATGGGCACTTGGGCTGTTTCCATGTCTTGGCTATTATGAATTGGGCTGCAATAAACATTCTGGTGCAAATGTCTTTGTTGTAAGACAATTTTTGATTATCTGGGTATGTACCTAGTAGAGGAATTGCAGGATCAAATGGAAGGTCTACTTTTAGTTCCTTGAGTGTTCTCTAAACTGCTTTCCAAAAACGTTGTAGTAACTTGCATTCCCACCAGCAGAGTAGAAGCGTTCCCTTCTCTCTACGTCCACGCCAACATCTGTAGTTTTGAGATTTTGTGATGTGGGCTAATCTTACTAGAGTTAGATGATATCTCAAAGTGGTTTTGATTTGCATTTCTCTGATGATTAAGGATGATGAGCATTTTTTTATGTGTTTGTAGGCCATGCACTTGTCTTCATCAGAGACATTTCTATTCAAATCTCTTGCCCACATAGAAATAGGGTTATTCTTTTCTTATTGATTAGTTTGAGTTCTCTGTAGCTTCTAGTTATCAGACCTTTGTCAGAAGCATAACCTGCAAAAATCTTCTCCCATTCTGAAAGTTGTCTGTTTGGTTCACTTACTGTGCTCTTGGCTGTGCAAAAGCCTTTTAGTTTGATCAGATCCTAATAATGTATTTTTGGTGTTGCTTCAATTGCTAGGGGGGTCCTCATCAAAAAATATTCTCCCAGACCAATTTCTTCAAATATTTTCCCTGCACTCTCTGCTAGCATTTTTATAGTTTCATGTCTTAAGTTTAATCTTTTATCTAGTGAGAATAAATCTTTGTTAATGGTGAAAGTTGGGGGTCCAGTTTCAGTCTTCTACAGGTTGCCAGCCAGTTCACCCAGCACCATTTATTAAATAGGGAGTCTTTCTCCCACTGAATATTTTTAATAGGCTTGTCAAAGATCAAATGACAATAAGTAGCTGGGTTCATCTCTTGGCTCTCTATTCTGTTCCTTAAATCTGCCATTCTGTTTTTGTGCTAGTACCATGCTGTTTTAATCACTGTAGATTTATAGTATAGCCTGAAGTCTAGTAATGTGATACTCCTGATTTGTTCTTATTTCTGAGTAATGTATTTGCTATTCGAGGTTTTTTCTGATTCCATGTGAAATGAAGTAATATTTTTTCAAGTTCTTTAGTATGACAGTGGTGTTTTAATAGGGATTGCATTAAAATTGTATGTTGCTTCAGGTAGTATAGACATTTTAACCATGTTGATTCTTCCCAACTATGAGCATGAGATGTTTTTCCATTTGTTAACATCTTCAGCTATTTCTTTTCTCAGAGTTTCTTATTTCTCTTTATAGAGATCTTTCACGTCTTTTGTTAGGTAAACTCCCAAATAGTTTATCTTCTTTGACACTATTGTAAAAGGAATAGAGTCCTTGATTGTTTTTTCAGCTTGACTGTTGCTGGCATATATAAAAGCTACTGACTTGTAAGTATTGATTTTGTATCCTGAGACACTGCTGTATTCCTTGATCACTTCTAAGAGTTTTGACGTTGAGTCCCTGGGATTTTTGCAGGTATAGGATCATAACATCAGTGAAGAGTGAGAGTTTGATCTCCTCTGACCCTATTTGGATACCCTTGATTGCCTTCTCTTGCCTGATTGCAATAGCTAAGACTTCCATTACTGTGTTGAATAGCAGTGGAGACAGTGGGCATCCTTGCCTCTCGTTCCTGATCTGAGTGGAAATGTTTTCAATTTTACACTATTCAATATGATACTGGCTGTGGGTTTGCTGTGGATGGCCTCTATCAGTTTAAGAAATGTGCCTTCTGTGCCTATTTTCTTAAGAATTCTGCTCATGAAAGGATGCTGAATATTACCAAAGGCTTTTTCTGCTTCAATTGAGAGAATCATATGGTCTTTGTTTTTTATTTTATTGATGTGATGTATAATCTTTATAGATTTGCATATGTTGAACCAACCCTGTAACCCTGGAATAAAACCGGCTTGATCATGGTGTATAATTTTTTTGATGTGTTGTTGAATTCTGTTTCCTATGATCTTATTGAATATTTTTGCATCAATATTCATTAATGATATTGGTGTATAATTTTCTTTCTTTGTTGGATCCTTTCCTGGTTTGGGTATCAGAGTGATATTTGCTTCATAGAATGTGTTGGGAAGTATTCTGTCTTTTTCTATGCTTTCGAAAACATTGTATAATATAGGTACTAGTTCTTCTTAAAAGGTTTGATAGAATTTGGATATGGAGGCATCTGGACCTGGAGTTTTCTTTTTAGGGAGATTTTGTATTGTTGATGCTATTTCAGTGGTTGATATAGGTCTATTCAAGATTTCTAATTCTTTCTGGTTGAATCTGGGAAGGTGGCCTGCTCAGATATTGGTCCATTTCCTTCAGATTTTCATACTTCTGGGAATAGAGATTTTTGTAGCACTCATTGAGGATTTTTTTAATTCCTGAAGTGTCGTTATTCCTCCTTTATTGTTTCTGATAGATAATATTAGAGATTTTACTTTTCTGTTTCTGGTTTGGTTGGCCAAAGGTTTATATATCTTGTTAATCTTTTCAAAAAATCAACTTTTTGTTTCATTGATCTTCTCTGAATGATTCTTTTGTTTTCAATTTCATTTAATTCTGCCCTTATTTTGGTTACTTCTTTTCTTCTGCTGGGTTTGGGGTTGTAATGCTCTTCTTTTCCCAGTTGCTTGAGATGGTCCATTAAGTTGTTGACTTTCTCTGTTTTCTTCTTTTTTGCAGTTTTGGCCGGTGCTGAGTTTGAACCCGCCACCTCCAGCATATGGGGCCAGCGGCCTGCTCCTTTGAGCCACAGGCACCACCCTCTCTCTGTTTTCTTGATAAAGTCTTCCAAGGCTATAAATTTCCCTCTTAGGACTGCCTTTGCAGTATCCCACAGGTTTTGATAATTTGTGTCTTTGTTATCATTTTGTTCCAAAAATTTGGTGATTTCCTTCTTAATCTCATCTTTGATCCAGCTATCATTCAGCCTAAGATTATTTAGCTTCCATGACTTTGTTTGAGTATGAAGATTCCTATTGCTGTTGGGTTCAACTTTTTTTTTTTTTTTTTTTGAGATGGAGCCTCAAGCTATCCCCCTGGGTAGAGTGCCATGGCATCACGCTCACAGCAACCTCCAACTCCTGGGCTCAAGTGAGTCTCCTGCCTCAGCCTCCCAAGTAGCTGGGACTACAGGCGCCCGCCACAACGCCTGGCCATTTTTTGGTTGCAGCCATCATTGTTGTTTGGCGGGCCCGGGCTGGGGATTCGAACCTGCCACCTTAGGTGTATGTGGCTGGCGCCTTAGCCGCTTGAGCCACAGGCGCCGAGCTGGGTTCAACTTTTATTCCATGGTGGTCTGAGAAGACACAAGGAATAATTTCTATACTTTTAAATTTGCTG